ATGTGAGAATCCGCACACCACGTGATGTGAGAATCCACACCACGTGATGTGAGAATCCGCACATCACGTGATGTAAGAATCCACACCACGTGATGTAAGAATCTGCACCACGTGATGTAAGAATCTGCACCACGTGATGTGAGAATCTGCACCACGTGATGTGAGAATCCGCATCACGTGATGTGAGAATCTGCACCACGTGATGTGAGAATCCGCATCACGTGATGTGAGAATCTGCACCACGTGATGTGAGAATCCGCAACACGTGATGTGAGAATCCGCACACCACGTGATGTGAGAATCCACACCACGTGATGTGAGAATCTGCACCACGTGATGTGAGAATCTGCACCACGTGATGTAAGAATCTGCACCACGTGATGTGAGAATCCGCACCACGTGATGTGAGAATCCGCACACCACGTGATGTGAGAATCTACACCACGTGATGTGAGAATCCGCACATCACGTGATGTAAGAATCCACACCACGTGATGTGAGAATCTGCACCACGTGATGTGAGAATCTGCACCACGTGATGTGAGAATCCGCATCACGTGATGTGAGAATCTGCACCACGTGATGTAAGAATCCGCACCACGTGATGTGAGAATCTGCACCACGTGATGTGAGAATCTGCACCACGTGATGTGAGAATCCGCATCACGTGATGTGAGAATCCGCACCACGTGATGTGAGAATCTGCACCACGTGATGTGAGAATCTGCACCACGTGATGTGAGAATCCGCATCACGTGATGTGAGAATCCGCATCACGTGATGTGAGAATCTGCACCACGTGATGTGAGAATCCGCACACCACGTGATGTGAGAATCTGCACCACGTGATGTAAGAATCTGCACCACGTGATGTGAGAATCTGCACCACGTGATGTGAGAATCCGCACATCACGTGATGTAAGAATCCGCACCACGTGATGTGAGAATCTGCACCACGTGATGTGAGAATCCGCAACGCTCGCCAGTGACACGCGGTGCAGATTCCGTTGCTCCGTCTCCACGGCGGCGGAGTTCCACTGCGTAGACGTCGCGCTCGTGCTCACGACGTCGATCGGGAGAGACGTCAGGTGAGAGGAGACGTCAGGTGAGGGGATAACCCTAGATCACACACACACACGAGCCTAACTCTCAATCAGCGTGCATCGCACCTCCATCATCATCGTCGTCACCCTCAACCTCGCCACCACATCCAGCACCATCCTCGTCGTCGTCGTCGCCACAATCATTGCCAACCATCACACCGTCACACCGTCACACAGCCACCAGCAAAGATCCCCCGCGTCGCCTTCACACAGAGTGCTGTGGGGGCAAGTGCTGTTAGCGAGCACGTTAGGAAGGTCGAAACGGCACACGACGGGGTGGGTGGCCAGCACCACGGCAGACCGCCTTTGTCTTCCCAGCGGCGACGTTGAAACACCGCGCCAGGTAGTCATTTGAGGCTGAGTCGAACTAGGGGAGGCCCAGGACCGGTTCAGATTTTCGTCACTTGTTGTTGGGCCATGAGTGGGACTCGAACTCGAGTCGTGGCCGGGTTCGTAGCGCTCACCGCTACAACCACCACCAAAGACAAAGATCACCCGTATAGCCTCAACGCACTGTTGGGGCAAGTGCTCTTAGCGAGAGCCCCCCCACCACCCCCGGCTGGGGCCGCCGCCGCCGCTCTTGAATTCGCCTTTTGTGCGCGCGAATCGGCGCGCGCACCGCGGCTAATTCCTCACAACGGACTCCGCTCGGCCTCACAAAGGGCCGGGCGGCTGCGCCATTGAAAGTTGGGAGGGGGGGGGGGGGGGGCGGTGGGGGAGTAGCGGGGGCCGCGAGTTGGAGAGTCGGGGGGGGGGGGTAGCCGGCGCTGTATCCGCCGTGAATGGACCACCCAGGCCTTGCCAATTACCGTGGACCATCGCCGCGCGCTCGTTCATCGCAGAGAGACGTGGGGGGCTTCCCGGGAGGGCCCAAGGCCTCCTCCTCCACCCCACCCCGCTCCTCCTCCTCCCCCACCCCCTCCTCCTCCCCCAGCCCCCTCCCCTCCTCCTCCACCCCTCTTCCCCCACCCCACCCCCTTCCTCCTCCCCCACCCCCCCGTCCTCCTCCTCGGAGACCCCCCTCCTCCTCCACCCCCCCCCCTCCTCCACCCCACCCCCCTCCTCCTCCTCCTCCACCCCCCCTCCTCCTCCACCCCCCCCTCCTCCTCCCCCACCCCCCTCCTCCTCCTCCACCCCCCCTCCTCCTCCCCCACCCCCTCCTTCTCCCCCAGCCCCCTACCCACCTCCTCCACCCACCCCAACCTCCTCCACCCCTCTTCCCCCACCCCCCTCCTCCTCCTCCTCCACCCCCCCTCCTCCTCCCCCACCCCCTCCTCCCCCAGCCCCCTACCCTCCTCCTCCACCCCCTCCTCCCCCAGCCCCCTACCCTCCTCCTCCACCCCCCCACCTCCTCCACCCCTCTTCCCCCACCCCACCCCCTTCCTCCTCCCCCACCCCCCCCCTCCTCCTCCTCGGAGACCCCCCTTGCGCAGGAACGATCGACCGCAGGCATCAGGAACATCGCGGCGCCGCGTGCCGCTCTGGCCGCGTGGGATGCCGAAATTGTCACTCGCACCCGACGTCGGCGACCGTCGCTCATCGGAGTCGCGGGGGCAGCCACCAAACGACTCCGCGTGGGAAGCCGACGGCGCGGCAGCCCTCGGATGGAGCGCGACTCCGTCTGTATCGGAATGCGTCATTCACAGCCAGGGCAGGAAGAGACGACCGTCGTGATTAAACGTTTCTCACTGGGCATCATCGACTCGATAGAAAGACAAAGATCGCCCCTGTAGCCATTTGACACAACCGGTGGGGCAAGTGATGTTAGTGGGTGGCCTAACACCACGCCCAACCGCCTTTGTCTCCCCAGTGGCGAAGTTTACGCATCGCACCAGGTACTCATGTGAGGCTGAGTCGGCATAGGGGAGGCCCAGGACCGGATCAGATGTTCGCCACTGTTTTTGGTGGCCGTGAGCGAGAATCGAACTCCGCTCGCCGGAGTCGTAGCGCAGCCCGCTAACCACAGCGCCACCGCTCCAAACATAATCCGCACCGCGCAGCCT